CTGACCTTTCACCTGTGCCTGGCTAACAATACAGAAGTTACAATGACGTGACTCACGTGCACTCATGTTACCATATCATATAACATATAACTGACCTTTGGTCTGTACAAAGTAACTTGTCTTGGCTGTGATTTAATCGACTAGTATTTTGTAAAATACAGTCACATTTCAATTATTATACATTATATATGTATATAGCTTATTGCTATTTTGAAATAAGTTCTTAAACTTATTCTTCCTAAAACAAAGAACAGTAAATATAGAAGTAAAGCAAATAATTATCTCTTCTAGTTATGACCTTTATACTCGGTTGCTGCTTGACATAGGTTGCTAAGCCTTTAGAAATTTTGCACATGGTGGATATGAAATAAAATATTTTTTAGGTTTTTATATATACATTTTAATAACTAAAAAATTATAAATTACTACATTAATACCATAAAATTCTACTATAATATATCAAGCTTAGTAACTAAGCTTTATTTGGGTCTAAAAAAATATGAAATTTCGAGCAGACTAAAGACACAACCTACCTCATTGAAATCTTGTTTCAATTGAAAGAACTGGTGCTAGCTACGTTAGAAAGGCTGAGAAAACCACTAGGGCGATATTCTGAACTTCCGATTGGTTATTCATGTCATATATAGAAGTAAGTGTATATAAAGGAGCATTTCCAAAAATGGAAAGAGGTGAGCGAGGTACCACTGTGTTTGATTTATTACATTAGCAAATAGGAAAGATAAGACCTTCTTATTTTATATTCTAGCTTGTCAATATCTGTAATTTGAGTTTCTAATTTGTATGAAACTACAGACTTAGTATTTTGACTTCACAAACATCTAATTTGAACCAGTGCTGCATTCAACATACCACGTGACACACAAAAAATTGATGTTTATCTGTGTTTTTTAATATTTACTTTTAAATTAACAAATTGAGTAATGTATAGTTTTAAAATTTGAATTATAATCTACAGTTTGATACCAAACTTATTGACATAAATTCATGAAATAGTAATTTAATAAAATGTTGAATGCGAGTCAACAAATGAGATGACATGCCTTTCACCTGTGACTCGTTTTGAAATGGTTAAGTGACTTTCATTTGGTATTTCCATTTTTTTGCCACTACTTATATCTGCAATAGCCCACCATGCAAAAGACCATACAATAAAGTGGAATAATATTAAAATAACAGGATATTAACCACTCATGAGGAAAAGAAAGTGAAAAACAGCACTTCTTATGAGTTATATAATGTTGCCTATATATGTGTAGTGTTAAGATCCCATATTACCATACTGTATACTACATAAAGACAAAAGTAAATGACAACTCTGCAATTTTGTAGTTTTAAAGTTATATTATACATAATAAAATAAACACAAAAATCAAATATTAACTTACATACAATAATTTACAAAAGAGTATAATACAAAAAAAATAACTCTTTCTTGATAGGTCCAAAAAACACTTCTTTCTCTCTAAAGGAAACTTGAATCTTTTTATATAAAATCTCCCAAAAAATGTGACAGAGAGTACACATGCTAAAAAAGTGTTAGTTACACGTCATTGATCAGGCAATACACCTGCAGCACCTCACAAGTGAGTTTTACAGAAATATTACAAATATACGGTATCGTAACAATAGAGATAAAGCCCTATACATTTTGCATAGTCACTTATTACATTTCTGAAGACCCAATAAGACTCATGACTGCTCTCAAGTCTTGACAATTTGTCTTTTTTTTTTTACAGTGATATCATAATATCACATATCTTACTCTCCTACAATATGTATGTCATATTCAAAATCTGACGTTTCATATTTTTATGTCTCTGCAGAAAGACGTACTGTTTTTCTATTGTTTCTTCTTCTTCCAAACACTTTTCAATTGACTGCATTCTTTCCTTTTCTTTGTGGATTGACTTGAAGCTTGGTAGGGTTATACCTTGGTCTAATATGCCCAGATACCTATTCAATTTTTTTTTTATTTATTTAGGCCTCTTTGAAGGAATTTATAGTTCAAAGTGAAAAGTTAAGCAACTCAAAAATGTATATTTTGGGTTCCTGTGCAGTCATATTTACAGCAATCAAGATGAAAATTTGCACAAAAATAAGTTTCATACTCGAAACACAGTGACAAAAAGATTGAATTTGCTCATTTTGAGTCTTTTTGGGAGGGTAGGGGTCATATCTCACAAAAAAAAGCATAGTTTGGGGGTTTTGGTCTATACTTTGTCATATTTTGGCCAAGTTATATGTGATTTGGTAAAATGATACATTCTTGTGGGTCCCAAGCAGTGATATAGACAGTTTTAACTTTTTCTGTGTTTTTCACATTTCTTCAGGTGTCAAACTTGGCATGGTGGAGAAATATTGCATTTGCCTGTAAATATTGGCCTTTTTAAATTTAAGTTCTAATTTGGAACATGCTAAAGCCAATCAAGGTCATATGCCAGTTTATCGAGGTCAAGGAATACCTCTCATTTTTCATGGGATGGTTGTACTATGTCTCACATTATCCTGTGTATGTGGAAAAGCTTTGTGACCACCACATGAAGCAGAGATACTTCTAGAATCTAGATATTAGTGATCTAATTTTGCAATTGATCAGGTATACATAGAGAACATAAACTATGAAAGCAGTTTTGGTATTTTCCGCCACATTCATTTCTGTAGAAATTTCACCGTTGTCTTAACTTTCAATCTTCATAGTGTTTAGTCTATTGATTATATGTGTCCATTTTCTTATAGTGAGCTAATCAATTACTTTTTGTTTAATTGAGTTAATTTTTTTAAATATAGTAATATGTATTTTTTCAGTTTATTTTACTGTCAACTTATCCTATCACAAGGAATTAGTCCTACACCAAATGACAGCCTTTCTTCTTTCTCCTGTTTTCTTCAATAAATGGTTATTTTTATTTCAATTTTACACTTCTATTTGTTAACATTAAAGAAATTTACTTACATATGAAATGTATAAAAATTGAATATTGCAACAATTATAGTATATTTCATTTCTATAACCTTATTTTCTTGTAACTACTTGCATCTAAAAATATATTATTAGAATTTCAATCAATTTCAAAGTATTTCTTGATGAAGCTTATCAAGCTTACTTCTACGTAAATTTCAAGTTGCAAATGCTGAGACATGAATATAAAATATGATGTTCCATGTTAGTTTATATTATTTTATTAAAAGTTATTTTCCATACTGTAAACATTGAATAAACATACTTTTACTACTAAAATATGAAATACAAATTACCTATCAGGAATCCCAAGTCTTTTCACACTTCTGTAGAAGGAAAGAACATTAGCAACATGTCTGTAGTTGAACCAGAACCGGGATGTACACACTAGGACAGCCCAGTTGTTGGTGTGACTACTTTTGAAAAAACTGCTAAATTTTTCATCTGCATTGGAAACCTAAATCCCAAATACACATGTTAACAGCATATACTCTGATAAAACATACATGTGCAGGAATGTGTATAAATAAAAATCAACTTAGCCAGGCTGTCCTGAAAAACATTTTAAAAATTGAATGATAATATTTCTATATAAAGCTTTCTGTTATTTTTCATGTAAAATACAAGATCTTGACAAACATCTCTAAAAAAAAATTGCAGAGAATGGCAAATAAAAACAATGCAATAATATATTTCATATTTCTTTAATCATCTTAGAACACCTTACCTTCTTTTTATCTGCACTGATCAAAATAATAAGGGGATAATTGGATTTTTATATATTCTATGTATAACAAGGCACAATTATTATTATCAAATAATGTTTATGCAAATCAAGTACCAAATGACCAGTCACATAATCTGATATAGACATATTTCTTCAGTTGTATATAAATGTTCTCAGTTAGCAATTGCATGGTATGTAAATAACCACACTTGATACTGAAATGAGCCAGTACAGTAGACTTATTGATTAATCAATTAGCAAACAACACTAATCTCTCAGTTCTACTGTAAATGTTGCCTTTTATAGTTATATATCTAATACCATTTGTTTTTTTTAGAGCAAAGCCACATTGGGCTGTCTGCTGTGCCCATTGCAAGGAATAATCCCAGATTTTAGTCTTGTACGTCCATAAACATACTGCTGTTCTCAGGGATATCTAACACAGCATAAAAAGAAAACTATGCCACATACTAAAAAGTGCTAGATATAGAGCTATGTTTGGTCAGATATTAACTTCTACATTTTTCAAATTAAGATGAAATTCAAACTGCTACTTACCTCTGAAATACTGAAAGCCTTTTCTTGTTGAGTTCGAACTCATGTTGTTAACAAAATGTGGCTCAAAATTTCCAAAGGTCCTTTACATATTTGCATATCATACATGGCACCTATTATACTCCCCTCTGTCACTTATGGTACATGTGTTAGTGCATATTACATAAGTTAGATTTGTCTGAAATATGCAGTCATGATGAAAGGTAGGATGTGGGAAGGCAGAAGGAAAAATGCTCTTTGTGGTGTCAAGCTAAATTTTTTGTAACATTTATTAGTTGTGAGACATTTAAATAAAGTGCAATGTAAAAATGGCAAAAAATTATTTTTTGTGTGTTAATTTTACATAATAGTTTAAAATAGGGCCAGTCATTGGTTAATATCCAGTAGATTACAACCTTAACTGGTAGTTAAACCTCTGTACCAGTTATTCTTAGAGCTGGGCAATTAAGCTGATTAATTGATATAACCTATTACTTATGAGCATCAATTGCATTGATAAGTGCCATGTAAAATAACCAATTAATTGAAAGTACAATCAAATCAATTAACATTATGTAAATAATCAACTAATCAAAATTAGTGTTTCTGATTATTATTGTCTTTAATTATTCCAACTATCCAAGTACTCAAAATATTGCTATTATTTTTGATTAATGTAATGTTGTTCAGTTTAATCAATAAGTGTCATGACTCACAAAATAATCAGCTAATCAACATCTAATTAGTGTTTCCAATTATTACTATTTTCAATTTCTAACTATCCTCGTCTCATGTGAGAATAATCTAATTGAATTTAATCTTTTTCTTTTGAGTTCTATGAAAGACTACATACATTTTTTTCCCCTAAAGCTAAATTTTAAAACACTTAAGTTATTTTAACCTTTCAAGTTATCACCTGCTAAACCATCTCCTTCTTAACATTTTTGAAGCTATCCTATTGTGTATTTTACTAATTTTGTAAACACTGTAGAAAACTTGATTCACTTTGATTAGAAGAGATTAGCACTTTGTAGGATCTTTTAGTTGGTAATCACAATTGTTTTGTTGGCAATATATGAACTCCAACTCCAAGGCAAAAAAATGACAGCACAAATTTATTATAGTATGTACTTTTGGCTTGTATCTAGGCAAAGTTATAATGAGGCATGTGTCAGCGCATATTTGTTACAAGCATATATGCATTATTGTATTTTTAACAGAAAATGACAAAAATGACCCACTCATAGATCATACTTTTAAATAATGTTCTTCCTTATCAGCAGCATGGCAGCCATCTACCAGCATTTGCATGATTTGTTTTGCTTTTTCATACTTTACCAAATATGTAAAATTATAACAACAAAATTTTTTCTACCCTAAAAAATGTGGGCACCCAGCCTGTCTATGCCCATGTACACAATGCTGTTTATTGTTTAGCTATTCATTTTGTTGCTGCCAAGAGTAGCCAACCTTTTGTTGTGAAACCTAATCTGCCTTTCATTGTAAGTAAATCTTCATATGTGCCAATATTTAAGAACCAGATATATGGTCAGTCTTTAATGAGCCAGCATTATCTACAGATATTTATTTTGTCATGCCTAATAATTTGAAGCTAACAATATATTCACAGTTTTTAAAAACCAGTGTGCATGCAATAACTTAAACAAAACAAAAAACATTATTTTTATTACTTGATAATCCCTGTTGCAGAGACTGTCTCATAGCAAACTATAACACCCTCAAATATGTTAGTTGGAAATCATTCACATGCATTTATCAAACAACAAGGGAAGAGGCTGTAGCACACAACACTGAAGGTGGTGATGGTGGGGGTTGTGGAGAAGAAAAAATATGAATAAACTTGGCTTACTTTTAAAATGTGTATTTAAATACGTATACAGGACTCACTGAACACTTGAACAATTTCAAAATACAAATGATTATTAAGAGTAAAAATTGCAAAAACTGATATTTTTTGGCACAATAAAAGGTAGAATATTGTAGATACTAGCACAGATGATGGTAACTGTATTATTGAAACTAGTAGGCTGTAACTAATAATAAAGATTTTACAATTTATTGTGCCAAAACAATGTTGGTTTTCATATTTTTACTCTTAATATATTAGCACAATGTGACTGAAATTATAACACAAAAGATTAATTAATAGCCACTATGAATGAGAAGCATAAATGCCATAGTACTTGCAGCTATAAGAAATATTAAAATATATAAAAACAGCATTTAGAATAATTCATTTATTATTTAATTGCAATAAAATAATAGCCTACTATTTTATTTACTGTCTCTGATATTACCATGAACAAAGAATCATATTTTCTTTTTCTTTGTATTTCTAGAATATTCATGAAATTGAAAAGAAATATTTTTGTATTAAAGATTTTAGCATCTTCAATGAAACTGACAACAGAATGTTTGTGCACTTGAAATAATGGTTTATAAATTAAAGTTATAGAACATGATGCTCTGTAGGTTATACAAAAATTAAGAGCTTTAAATCAATGAATAGTTTGTACGATGTAGTTGCTTTTACTTTTAGGATAATTTAAGAGCTGTAATCCTTGTTAGAAGTTAGTTACTATAATAACTTTACCATATATGTGACCGGCAGAGGTCTGAATGGTAGTGATATGGTAAACATTTTGGCCTACTAATACTAGTAAAAAACAACAAAAACCGTTTACAAGCAATTAAATTGATCAACAGTACACTAGAAATATTTTATAACTTAAAAGTAAGCATGATAACAAAAGAGAAGGCAAGTTGGAGATCTGAGTCTAACTGATAAATTATCAAAAATCTATATAATACTTGATACAATAACACTGACAGTGCCAATCCCCCAAAACGAAATCTACATAAAGATATAAAGTCGCTACATAAATGTAATAGAATAGAATACGCCTAGCTTAGGCTTAGTAGTTCATATTACGTTCAGGAACTAATCTGTGTAACAAAAAACTTTGATCATAAATATTCTTAGTCTGTAAATGTAATATTACCGAAGCATCCAGCAACGGTGATTACTAAGTGAGATCAAACTCTATATACTAATATTACTAGTATAAATAATAAATTATAAAGTATAACTGATTATGAGTTTACTTTGTAAAAAAAACTGTATAGGCCAAGACTCTTAGTTTTTGTAAAACTAACAACAAAAAACACATTCCAGTAATTTTAAATACCTGGGAAAAAGAAATGTGTCCTATGCTTATAAGCAAAAATGAAATCAAAAGGTTTATGAACCACACGTCCATCAATAAACGAATGCCTATCCTTATTCATAAATTACTATTATTATCGTTCTACACTGAGACTTAGATCGGCGTTTTCCTATTTGACTGTAGCGCCATTAACATCCTGTGGCTATAAAAATTCTATACTTTTGGCTCATTTATTTTGTCCTCGGTGGGCCAGCGGTAACTCTTCGGATTTACAACACTAAAATCAGGGGTTCGATTCCCCTTGGTGGGCACAGTAGATGTGGCTTTGCTATAACAAAACACACACACACACACTAATCTATTTTAATTAACTCAGTTAAGGTTATCAGTCAGTGTTTAAGCTAGAAGTATATGGAGAAAGTTTAGATAAACTCATGCATCTGGGACAGCTCTTTACTTTGAGGCTGCTAAGGGTTGAGGTAGAAGATTTGTTTTGTGCAAAGTAAATTGACAAATTGCTGTGAGAACATAGAATTTTATACCTTCGCATGAAAAACTCACTGTATTTCAAATATCTACAACACAGCATGAGAACTTTGGGGTAACTGTGCATAATAAGTTTTGTTCCCAGTTTATTTTAAGTAGTATAGAAACAGTAGAATTTTGACTGTAATGGACCGCATTTTCCCTGTTTCTAGCGTAGAACGATGATTCAACTTCTATACTAAGATATTCTCCTGCCTGTGAGTAGGATTGGATCTACTTTAAAGTGAAATGGGGAGTAAAAGGTGAGCTCTGTAGGTTTGCTTACACATTGATTCTACAGTTATGTATTGGTTGTCAGTTGTATATGCGTCTTTTTCGATGTTGCCTACATTATAATAGTAAATCTAGGTCCCCACAGTCAAGCTAAAAAAAAAAACAACAGATATGAATAATTAGGAAATGTTGTTGATACATGAGCACCATCATCTGACCAGCCTCGCCACCATGTGACAGAGAGCCAACACATGTCCATACTAAACATTCCATAAGCACATAACATGTCATACATGTGATGTATGGCAGTAGTCAGAAACTAAGCTGTTACCTCAGACTAAGAACTCTTCCAGAGATATGTAACCTCTGTTCTTGGTATCATGATCTTTAATATGAATGACGGTGGTCCAGGCATCTGCAAAATTTCCGTTGGAGTACCAAGAAGATTCTAAACAGCTCTACCTAGCATTTCAAAAAAACAAACAAAAAACAAAATCCCAGAATCAGGCTGAGACTAGCTGAGCCAGAAGTTAGAATAGTTGTGCAATCTGAAACTATGAGATAATCAACTGAAAGGGAGTTTGACTCTAATTTTCTGAACTATTAAGTAGGGTTTAATGGTATAATATCTTAAGGATGTTCTGTGTTAGTCATTCAGCTAAAAAGGCTAATGTTGCGTCAGCGAGGTCACGTGACTAGTATCACGCCACGTCCTTCTCGAACCTTCGTAAATTATCGGGAGACTACTAGATTGGGGGTAGTCTGGTATATATAAGAT